ATTATAATATTAGGAAAAATCCTAAAATGTTATTTCGCACACGTTTATGAGCTTGGCGGCTATCTTCTCGTAGCTTGCTTTAAACAGTGTAAAAATTTACAAAAAGTCAACTGAAGGTTTGTTAGAATTGCAGTTAAACGGAAATATATTTATTTTAATTCCTTTTAATAACTGTTCTAAACATTGGGTCCTTGACAATGATATAAGACAGCAACTGGTATTCCTGTAAAATTTGTGCGATACATGCTAGCAATATATGCGATAGTCAAAGATTTTAAAATTAAGATCTCGATGAATTGATGGATTTCTTTGAACATAGTTCGATAAAACGTGTTTAATATATTTATCACGTTTCCCTTTAAGGTTATTTTATAGTGACAGTATATTCTCTCTATTCTCGATTGTGACCATATTAAGTTCTTTCTGCAGATGAGGTGTTTTTGTCATCAGTTCCATCAAAGATGATCGAACTGATTCTTTTGCTCGTAATTTGGTTACATTTTGCTCTTCAAACTTTGTACGATTAATCGTTTTGATTTGCATATTTAATATGAGTTCATTCTTTGGAACATAAACCTCGTGCCATAAAAATTTGGAGGGCATAATTGTTTCAAATATTAAAAAATGCATATTAAACGAAACTTGATAGAAAATATAGATACATTACTTAGGCAGAAAATGTAGACACAGTGATTAGCTGCTCATGATTAAAATAAAACATTTTTTGATTAATTTTTATCAGTTACTCATGAAAATAATTATTGGGAAAATTCTTCATTTTTCATGACGTGGAGTCTGTTTAATCTGTCTAATACATTACAATTGCTCCTTTCTTGGAAAATTAATTCACTAAGCTCTTCTCTCTTGTTCTTTTAAATGTTCTTGGAGAAATATTCCCAGGATTTCGTTGCATAAGTAATGAAAAAAAAGAGGTTTTTGTCGTAGAAATAATATAATTTGATTGGCATCAAATGATATTATGCTTGTGACATTGGATTCTCCAATGAAAACAGAAAAAGTGAAATTACTGTTGATTGAACTAATATCGTTACTATCAAATGTGCATTAAAAGTAAAATAGTAGGTTTGAACGAAAGGCTTTGTTAAAAAAAATAATAATGGGTTTTAACTCAATCTACTTTCTCGCTCTATACTCCTGGAAAAAAAAAAAAAAAAACTCCGCCATTTGATGTTTTATTTAAGCCACCATGAAAGTCGATTGTTTTCTGCCATATTGCCATAGATATGCAGGTTATTATAAATAATTCATCCAATTTCAAAACGTTCTAGTTCATAAGATATTGCAAATAAAAAAGTAAATAATATATGAAATAAAATAATCATCTTTACAAATTTGATGAGAATACTATACTATGAAATAAAGTATAAACCTTTAAAAATTTGGTCAGAATACTGTAAATGTTCGATAATGCTCGAACGACGCATCCATGCAGTACTCCAGCTCTGCCCATATGTGCTGTAACATTTCTTCGCTAATGGCCATAAAAGCAGCTATAATACGTTTTGGAGCTCCTGTTATATTGATGTCAGTGGTAGCCCCAAAATATTATCTTTAACATATCTCCATAGAAAAATATCAATGGGCATAACATCGGAAGACCTTGATGACCTCCTAAACGATATTAAACCATCTTCTGTCATGTTGACCAATCTAACGACGTTAAGAGCTTATCATTTAAACAGCGATATACTTCAGTGTATCAATGATGTTTCCCTCTGTAGATTCTCCTCGACGTGGTGAAGGGGTGGCAATGCATGAGGAGCTTCTTGCTTATGTGGCTAATATGACCGAACCCTTCCATGTTGCTCAATAGCTGTGTTCGTACTTTGGAAGTGGCTGGCAACCGGGAAATTAGCTGCCTAGGGATAGTCTTTCTACGGTGATTGGTTCAGCCACGGCAGGGACTGTACACGTATTGCCAAGTCCGATCCGGGTTGTGTATATTATCATGCATCTTTTTAGATACTTCAGGTGTTTAAGCATATAAATTCTGTATGTAGCCTTCGTTTGCACTTGGTTAGTAGCCGGCCACTTGCGATCTGTACCAATGATGTGAAGCCACACGTAGCTAAAATGTGAAGTTTTATGAATCATCTTCCATTTCATTTTCATAACCTCATTTGTAACATATCCTGATACGACATGCACATTTGAAAAGTGCGTCGAAAGGAGAAAAATTGCCCATGTATCTTTACCTGTGAGATGGCGCATGAGACGTTTAGTTTTGGTAGATCCGGTTCCTGTTAAGGGCATGACCATTTTCCCATGTTTGAACCTTGTGATGGCTTAGAATACCTTCGTGGAGATGTTTTGACCGGAAGCTAGTTTTTATTTTCGTATGAGACGATTTCCTTCGAAATACATGCAAAAAAACGTGTACAAATGTTAAAAAAAAAAACCACAAAAAACGCCTATGTAGCCAGCTTCATTCTCCAGGACTTGAATCCAGGCTGAACTACTAATTTTGAGTAGTCTTATGCACTCAGACACTCCTAGACATCTCCTCTGGTTTTGCATCTTCTAAGTAGTACAGCATTTTTTAATCTTTTTATGAACAGCTGCAGTGAAACAACATTTATCAGTTAGGTTTGTACAACTTATTTTATTCTTAGTTTTCTTAACTTTCCATTAATTAGGATGACATTTAGTTATTAACTATAAAAAAAATACTTTAAATTACAAGATAATATACACGAAGCGGCTAATAATCTGATGACCAGATAAAAGGTCATGTCGTTCAGATGATTAATGCAATTAAAAATAAAGTCGTTCCAGACAGATATTAATTACATTACATGAAAACGTCTAACTGTTTAATACAAAAACTGAAGCGTTTGTTAACATCCATTATTTTAAATACTTTATTTTTATACACTGAAAAAATTTGACTATCGTAAATGTTAGTTACGAATTAACCCGTCATCTAGTTCTTCATTAAGGAAAAATAATGGAATTAACGAGAATTTGAAGTAATATCAGGCTTCTCTAGTACACATTGAAAATAAAAAAAAAAATATTTAAAATAATGTAAGTAAACTGCCGAAAAGAAATAAAAAATTAAAGTCTGTCCAGGACTATCAATTGTTTCTTGCTGTATTGTCATATATATGCTTTAAAAGGAAAATATTGCTTTTACTCAATAAACAAACTGCACAATAAATTCGCTTAAAATTAAATCTTCGTCAACCAAACATTAGTCTCAGAACACGATTCTGTATTCATTCACCTTAAATGCCTTCAACTGCAAATGCGTTGTTTCACTTTTCATTCGAGTCTATTGCCATTCGGCAAAATATAAGAAATTTATTTTCCTAATTGAATTTGTAACTGATGAACAAACTAATCTACTTAAAAGCAATAGACGCAGTTCTTCTTTTCTTTCTTAAATATTATTCTTTATTTTTTGATTGGATTGATTTAAATGATAATTCACTTAATTCATGATATAGTTAATTAAAGCATTCAACGTTTTCATAGAATTGCGTTAAATACTTTTTCAGTTTTAAGGGCACAGAAGTAACGTTCTCATGTTATTCTAAATGCTAGATTCATCTAGTATCTTATGAAATAGTTCACTGTTCCATCTGGACTATCTCTATGGGTAATCTCTATTAATAAATCATATTAAGCTTTCAAGGAGCCTTTTTAGACAACCATTAAATTCTGAATTCTTTCATAACTATTTTTTGTCTTTAAACTCATATTCTCTAAAAATTGCTGAAATGTTTTAAACGCTTGGGCTCGAAGCAAAAAAATAAATAAATAAATAAAAGTATATTATTATAACGATTTACATGCATATTCATTTATTAAATTAATCCTTTTGAATAATAAATTTGTTTGTTACATATTCCCATATTTAACTTTCAGTTTTTGTTCAAACAGAAATATGCTTTTATGAAATGTAATTAATATTCTCTAATACCCGATAAAAATATTTTTGTAACGGTACCACTTTTATCAGGGTATATTGCGTAGGTATTGAAATAAACGGCCTTTTTAAAAAACCGTTTAGAGCTTTGTTTCAAAAATAATATAAGAAATAACAATTAAAAACATTACTGAGTCTTTTGCTAAACAACTTCATTCAGGTTGTGATGTTGAGAGGCCCCAACTTGTCAGCAATAGTAGTAGTGACTGCTATGAACTGGAAATTACACATACTCTTAAGAAAGGTTTAACTCCCTTTTTATTTCACTTTAGAAGTCACAGTTGCGTTCACTCGACGCTCACAAACTACGCCGACCCGGCGGTTAAACAAAAATAGAAAAGTACAACTAAAAATGAATGACAGAATGAATAACTAACGAAGTCACTATCTACGAGGCTCTATAATTGTAACTATCTTAACCGCGTTCTAAGATACAGCTGAGATTCAGCAAACTTTCTGATTAAGAAGTTGAAAGATTCAACTAACTGCCGAAGTAGGCACACAGGGCGAACAGCGCGGTTCTTAAATTTCTACCTAGCAACATTCACGCTCGTGATTCAAGAAGCACACCTAAAAATCTCGTTTCCCTTCTAATTTAACTCAAATTACTTCTGCTAAAAATTTGAATACTCTGCGCGTTCTACTAAAATTTACATACTCTGGCATTGGCAATTCCAAGGGAAAGTAAAGGCTTGACAGGAAAGATAGCTTAAACTTAAAATAAATGTTAGTTAAAATAAATATAAACCCTACAAGGTATTCAAAGAAACATCTCAGCTAAAAATGTAATAAACGTTAGTAAAAAGTACTTTATACTCGTAGAAACAAAATTTGTAAGAAAAATTTTCGCAGTATATTATCCATGTATAATAATATATTTATTATTTACTGTTAATTAAATGTCTTTTAACAATCAGGACTTTAGAATTTAGAATAATCCTACGACGAATTCTCTGGTCAGATGTAGGTAATTATTGCTTAAATGTGCTGATATATTTGCTTGTAAGCTTGTTATGAGGACTGTTTACATCATGTTCTTCTTTTGCAGATATATCCATCATAGTTGGGTGCTTGGTCAAACTTTGTGCCGACTGTTTCCGTTTTTCTTCTACGGCAATGTCGCAGCTTCTCTTCTTTCAATGACAGCTATCACGATTAACAGGTAATTGAAATTGTATTTTTTAAAATTTGAATATCTACTATAAAATTTTGTATCATAAAATAATAAATGAAGCTATATATGGATAACAAACTTTATTCTTAACATATGCTTTTAAGGGTTTATTTCTAAACTAAAGACAATTTTTTTTTTTTTTTTTTTTTTTTTTTTTTTTTTTATGCTATTTACATTTATGTTAAAGATTAAGACCACAAAGATTTTAACATTCAAATTTAAGCTTTCTGGATAGTTAACGTACACTATAAATATTTTTATTTTGTTTTATTTTAATGTGTTAATAACCGTGGCGTAGATTTTTAGCCGCTGAAATGGCCTGGGGCGCTCTCTGAATTTGCCTCGCCTTTGGATACAAACGAATAACTGAAAAAAATTTCCAAATAATATGAAGAGAAACAAATTAAAACTGTACGTTTATTTCTGAAAAAAAAACTTTTATTCCAACATTTTAAAATTATATTATTATATTATTATTATTATTATTATTATTATTTTGTTGGCAAAACCATCGATGGTATTGTAGAGGTCTATTTGATTGCTCCATTTTCTGTTAGGTAGACAGTATCCAAATATTTTTAATGCAAAATATACCTTTGTACATGCTTCATAAATGATATTTATTCAGAATTATTCACCCAACTAGGAGACAACAACACTTGTGAGCACAACAACACTTGAGCAACAACACTTGAACACCGTGGAAGAAGTTCGCGGTAGTATTACCGTTTTTGGAAATTTGTTCTCGACACCGTATTTTTTTTTTTTTTTTTAAATCCAAATATTGAAAAGAGGTGCTCTTTTGCATTCCTGTTACGTTTTCTCGAGTAATAAAGGAAATAAAAGTCTGAAATTCTCTCTTAGTAAAGAAGTCTTCTTTATTATTGTCATAATAAATCATAATTTAGTTGATATTCGTAATTTTCATTCAAAAATTTTGACAAAGTAAATAAGGTATAAATAAGGCATGTAGCTATTGAAATCTTAGGATGGTTTCTTTGAATACATTGTCTAGAGTAAAAATTCATTTTTTTAAAATTTAATTCCATATGGCAATTTAAATCTCATTATTCTTTATCTGCCTCGACGATCCGCATGACTAATTCACATAAATGGTTCACGCGGAAAATGTGCCGCCTAGGCTGATCGCCCTCCTCTAACTACATCACTGATTAATAAAATCCTATTTAAATTTAGATCATGTTTATGGCCTTTTCATGGATTAATAACTTATGTTAATTTTTTTAATATAAAAATGAAGATACTAAAAATAAACTGGAGTTTGATTTTGGTGCCCAGACTTCAGTATAACACCTGAAACAATTTTAAACGAAGCAGTTGCGTAGATTTACTATTATAAGAATTAGTTCCCCAAGGAATTAAAGATAGAGAGCAGAGCATTCTTATGATATATCTAAAATAATCTTTTAAAACGGAGAAAGGAGACTGTAGAGAAAAATTTGCTGTAATTGCTATCTTAACGCTACAAGAAAACTTGACCAGACAGCAACAAAGTTCAAGTACCAATACTAAATATTTTCTTTGACTTAACGAATAACATAAAAGAATTTTGTAATTGAGGGGGAAATATATATTAAACGAAGTTGCTTGAGGAACAGGAAATGTAAATTGTGCATTTCTAATTCTAAATTTGAAAGAAGTGTTGTCATTTACATTGAATTAACAATAATTAAGATTTCAAGGTTGATGGTTTCCATAATTCAGTTTATAAAACATTTGTGGCTACCAAGTTCAGAATTTTTACACACGTATTTTACGTTAAAATATCTGTTTCTTAAAATCTTCAACTTCTACCCCTGTCTACGTATTTGCTATGATGTTTGTTGTCGATAAACAGAATCGCCAGTTTGGCTAGACTTAACATAGCCCTCTTATTTCAAGCAAATGCCAATCTTTGACACTGATGTCATATAGTCAATCATTAATAAGCTATTATTTACACATCTATGATCATATGTCGCATCAGATGACAAAACAAGCGCCAATCCAGTCAAGCCATTCAACTAATCAGTAACCAACAAAGATTTTGTTCGCAGTTTGCATTCTTTAGCGATAAGAAGGATGAGCAAACATTTGTTCCATGGATTTTGAGCTGGGTGATGAACATGACAGTATTTGACCGGTGAACGTGAAGATGTTTTCTTTTGTCACACCCCACTGGCTATGCATTGTCATCCGCCGCGGGCGCGTCGTCAGCTCAACCCGGAAAGGAACAAATAATCACGCAGGGAACAATGACTGAGCATTACAAGCACTTATTTTCCGCCCTTCGGTTACCATTTTCCGCCATTCGGACGGATCCGTTGCTTTTGTCGAATGTCCCTCGGTCGAAGACCCTTTAATTGCAGCCATGGAGAACGTGAGCGTTATTAATAACTGATTTCTCCAACAAATAATGTAATCCGAAGCTATAAATACAGCACTGCTAATTTCATTCTGTTTGTTCATTATCACTCGTGAACTTCGCATGAGCGCTCAAAATAAAAGAGGATTTTACGGTTTTGAATGAGAATGGTGAGTTTTGGAGAGAAATCAAGAGTTGGTTTAGTTATTATTATTTTTTCCCCAAAAAGTCATGCGAAACGATAGTTTTCAAAATTGTTCTGAAAAAAGGACTGCTTTAAATGAGAAAATCTAGTAAAACGTCTCATTGCGGTGACCACTCATTTCATGGAAGTTTTCTAATTTTCCTGCTCGTGAAAGTTTTCATCATACTACCAGGTTCTTCAGTAAAAATTTGTGAAGTTATGGCAATACGTGCAGAACAGTATAATTAATAATGTATCTAAACTAGCAACGACTCCTAATTTGCCCCTCAGCTTTGTAAGGAATTTTTTCCTTCCTTACCAAGAGATTATGGGAAATTTCAAAAGAATTAACATTCCATGCTAATTCCAATCCATTTTGTGAAACATTCCATGTTTCCATCACTGCCGTTTTCAATGCTTCTTACCTCGCAATTGTTGTTCTCTCTGCAAACTTTCCAATGCTTCTTTCTGTGCAATCAAACCTAGATTTCAGGGGCAGAAGCGCTGAAAACAGTAATGATAGAAATGTTGAAGCTAAAGTTCATTATTTAAAAGCAATGATTAAAGACAAAGACAATAAAATAACTTTATTTGGAAGTTCTATCCCTTACTTTAAATGTTAAAGAAGTGCCTGGCTTTTTTTCGAAGTAGAGACAATAGTGTTTTTTTTTTTTTTTTTTTTTTTTTTTTTAAGCAGAAAACAAATTAACACGATGAACTCTCAATATAAATTCAGTACATTCGTCAGAAACATTTGTTATAAACTTGTGAATTGATTGAGAAAACTTTCTTATTTACTTCATCACTCATATATAGGTGATGGGAACGACTTCATACCTAATCATCTTTACTGTTTGGCCCACCAGCGGCCGAGCGGTAAAGTCGCTGAACACTGGTAGTTCGGTCCGAGGTTCGAATCCCGCGAACGGGCTGGCTGCATGGGTGTTTTCGTGGTTTTCCCCATGTGTAACGTGTATACGAGCCAGTTTCCCTTAGAAAGCCCTCCACGAAAGGCATCCCTCCTCTTAGGCAGATAGCCCTAGTGTGCTTTGCCATAATTAAATACACCACCACCACCATCTTTACTGTTTCGTCCTTCGCTTAAAATCGTACTGATTCTAGTTAGCGAACTCTATTGAGTTCTCCTTTCCCATTTCAGCTTGTATTCGAAATTTGACTGTTACCCGTATATGTGTGATAAGGCATTTAACATATTAACATGTAACGTGGATACGAGCTAGTTTTCTTTAGAAAATCCCCCACGAAGCACCCTATCCTTTAACTTAACAGCCTTCGCGCGCTTTGCATAATCAAACTATAGAGTTTGGTCTTCTTAGGTAGCATAAATTAGACTCAAACTCTTGTAAGAACTATTGACGAATTATATCTATACTAAAATGCAAGAAAGTTTCAAATGGAAAAAAAAAAAAAAAAAAGTTATAATTGAATGCATTTTAACGGTATATTTATTTATTTATATATTTATTTGTATGCGTATATTTATAAAGAATTCACTTATTTAATTTTTAGATACATTTTGATCAACCACTACAAGCATTACGATAAAATCTATCGTCGAAAGTTCATCGGGCTGATGATTGCATTTTGCTGGATCTTTAGCTTCTCTTTGCTCGCTCCAACACTGGCAGGAGCTTGGGGAGAGTTTGGCTACCATGCTCAGAGCTTCTCCTGCACCATTCTCCGCAAAGATGGACGTAGTCCAAAGAAATTTCTCTTCATCCTTGGATTTCTGTTGCCTTGCCTTATCATCGTCATCAGCTATTCCTGCATATTCTACAGGGTATAATATATTAGTGATAAAAAAAATTTATATGGATCTGTTTAATTCATTAAAAAAGAGTTTTAAATGACATATTACTTAAATTATGTGGAAATTAGTTTCAATGCAACTTTTTCAAGTGGAATTCAAATTGGATATGCAGATCTGTCATAATTTTTACTTCAGAATATCTCGCAAGATTAAAAGAATTAATTTATGAAATATTTTGCTTCAATACACCTGAAAATTTCTGAGCTTCCAGTGTTAGACTGGATGTTGTATGAATTTTGATAGCATTTTTACTGTCTTATTGTAACGAGCGCTCGAAAACGTTCGTAGGCAAATATTTTTTGAAAAGATTTCCAAATCAAAAACTTTACTGCTATTTTCAAAACCATATAAATTCATGATTAGGTGTAAATTTACTCGCACTAATTAACTCGAAAAAATATATATGTGAATAAGATTATATGTCTCTTAATGACTAAATAAGACGAACTAAATAATACTAATAAAATGTTTTAATGATATTAAATCGACAGATTAATTAATGCATTAAATTATTAAATCATTGATTTAAGTATCCACTTTCATTGCGTTTACCTTGTGAGGCTCCTTTAATTTGAATTTTATATAAAGTACAAAGAAGTGGGAGTACAAATTCAAAACATGGAATAACCAGTTGTTTTATGTTTTACATTATAATTGTCGATATTTGAAATCCACGTTGGTAAACTTTTGAGCCAACTTCGAGTTAAATTGCTCCGTGTAGCCTTTGGCTATTGGTTTATTTAAATTTAAACTCTAACATTTGACTTAGTGATTTTAAGTTTCTCGCCGTAAATGCTGGAAGAATTGTAAGCATCATGAGTGTCTTCTGTTCATCTTATTTAGTTTTAAATAAAGGGTCTTGTTGCAGATCGAGAAGCACGCCATTGTTAATTTTAATAACCATATTCATTTGAATCCACATGAGTTTAGCAAAATGCAACTTTACATAGATTATGTCTTTCTAGAGAAATCTAACATGAATTGCTCGTCTTCAAGGTGCAAAATATGCCTCAGCTCTGAGGCATCATATCAGTTTTGAATGACAATTTATAAGAAGACGGTATTTAAATATCTAGTATCCATCTCCCCATCTCATTAAGCACAGAAGACTTTCTAACCATCTCACGGAAGCCTTTTGTGCTTTATTAGTTAAGTTCTTTTGCTCAATTCCTTTAACCAAATCAAAGGATAATAGCATAATAAACCAGGAGTTAATAATTACAGTGTTAATTGTAGCCTTGAAGTAATGTAGTTTGTTGTTATACTTGTATAAAGCGATTTTTAATATCTGAAGGCTAACAGGCTTTCTTTTCAGGTTCATAAAAGCCGTAAAAATGTGGAAGCTCATACACCGACTCCTACAAAAAGTCCCGGTAACAACGTATCAAGTCCAGCTCCCTTGATGAGGCAACTATCTCACAGACAAGATGAAATCCGATTGACTCGCATGATGCTGATTATCTTTTGCTCATTTTTGCTGTGCTTTCTACCGCTCATGATTGTCAACGTTTTCGAAGACAAGATTAGGTCAGCTTAATTTCCTTGCTCTTTGTACCATAATATGAGTAACATACGTAAAATATTCATAGATTCTCGATTTTTAAGTGGAAATTAATCATTGTTGCAGATCGAGAAGCACGCAATTGTTAATTTTAATAACCATATTTATCATATGAATCCACATGAGTTTAGCAAAATTCAACTTTACATACATTATGTCTTTCAAGAGAAATCTAATATGGATTGCAAGTCTTCAAGAAGGAAAATTTCTGCTAGTTCTGAGCGGAAAAAATTTTCACTTGTAAAATGAGAAATTCCTTGAAATTCTTTTTCATGATTTTCAGGATATCATAAAATCTTCAGCAAGCTGATGTTGATTTATCAGATTTCAAGTTCATTCTTAGTTACATCTTACAAAATGTTTTACACTTTGTGTTATTCTTCATTTGGAATCATTGTAATATATTTTCTTTCTTTGTTTCTTCTAATCACCCTGTAATTTATCAAGCTTTCGTTAATTAAAATTGGCTTTGATTTAAAAATCTGAGGCACAGAAGTGTCACCAGAGACGACGCTGCCGGTGTGGACAGCAAAATTTTGGGACGGCCAAATTTTAATAATTTAGGAATGAGATGGATGACATGACAAAGTTTAGGGACTGCAGAGACTGTACCCAGCGATAGAATCTCTAGCGCCGGGCCTGCTATGACAAAGTATACTTATCGGTTGATTAATACGTGAGTGTACTCGTATACTCATGCCTCGTGGCAGATAAAAATGAGCTATAACTAGTACAGGTTATGGCATAGTGAAAAACATACGAAAATTTATTCCTGTATTATTATTCTGTATGATATTTCATTAAAAGAGTTATTATTTCCATGCACGTTATTCCATCTGCTCCAACTAACTGCTTAAATTATTGCATATTTAATTAAAAACTTTCGGTCTGTGAATAAAAGAGCATTTTGGGAAATAAATTTTAACCATAAACGAACTAGAGGTTTAATTCAACAGGTACTGCTTTACGTAAAGTTGTCCTAAAATAAGTATATTCTCCAGTAGATCAATAAAATAAATTGGTCATAGAGGTTTAATAAATTCTTATAAATTGTTATTGTTAAGACCAATATATGTATCATATTTCCTTTCAGGTTTTATAAATTTTTAGCAATGCTTTTATCTATAAACAAACATGTAAATATACTTATCGAAATATAGGACGCCCGATAAAGAATAGTGTGGGGGGTCTGTGTTATAGCAGCAATATATATGTAGACAGGTTGGGATTTCTTTTTATTTTCTATTTTTCTATTTTGTTTTGTTTTGCAAAATAGAGGGCATTATCTCTTGTACTTCAGCTTTCGCAAGGAGAAGCACCCACGTTCTCTGCAATGATTCTACAGAACGAGCTAACCATTCGTTTTCTAGGATGATGAAATGGACCCAATAAAGACTCGCTCCCTTGGAACTCTTTTGAAGTCATACGAAAAAAACACTTAGCTAGAAGGAAAAGATTCAGTATCTTATGAAAGGAGGAAATACTGCAGGAACTGAAAATTTTAACTCTGAAGTGGACAAAGTTTGTATAATATTTTAATATGTGCCATGCCAATGGCACAGAAATAGAGACATCGCACAGTTTTTAAAATCTAAATAACTGCGACAAAAAAATATTTCAAAACATACTATACGCCTGTTATCACATGCCGAAATCTTAGCATTATAGCTGAAAATGGTGAAGAACGCTAAATCTTAGCGTTTGTCTTCTGAAAGCCTATACTGGTATTTGCAGAATCTGCAGATGACTCTGAAATTATTGCTATAAATTTAGTACTTGTATGCAGGGAATGAGTTTGAAAGAATTAAACATAAATTACTTTAGATTCTGTAAAATTAATTATATATTGAAAAATATAGTTATATATAATTTTATCAACCGTGACAAATAATTTCATAAAATTTTTAATTATCAATTTTATGAAGAATTCTGAACATATGATCATCCCATTATAAATTTCAGGGATATTTTGAGAAATTCTATAACAAACCCTCTTTTTGTAAAACTGCGTACCAAATTAACTCACTTCATATGTTGCAGCTCTAATCAAATGTTCTAATATGTTCTAATCAAAGTTAATAACATTTGAAATAGGACGATGTCATTTCAAATGTTGTTAACTCTGACTGGGATAGACCTGGTTAGAAACATCGCATTCTAATCAATAAATCTTTATAATGTAACTCAATTGATATTTCTTTGTGTATTCTTGTAATTATATATATATAGGTCTTTTGTCTAATTACCAGTTCGCTTTACATTTTCTTTTTCGATTATATATATATATATATTTTATTTTTCCCCTATCACTATATGCATAAGAAAAATCAAAGTGAAATATTGAGGACTCATGTTTTTTATGGGCTTTTTGTCAGACTAAGTTCACTGATCCTTTTTAATATTACCAAAGTATCAAGTGTATAGTGAAATTGTCCCATCTATCAGCTTTTTCCTTCAACCAACTGATGAAGCCAACTGATTGTTAGCTAACAAAGGCGGCCTTGTCTTTTGATGTGATTCAATTTACCCATCTGTTTCCTATGGCAGTTTTAGCCTAAGCCATTCTCAAGGTTTCTAAACTGCATTCCGTTTTATGTTTCACTAAAAGTGATTATTGTTAAGTTTTTATTCCAAGTTATCATCTTACGCCACACAAACACTTAAGAGGAGAAAGCTACAATTGTCTCAGATCTTTGTTTGTTTTGTAAAGCAAGTGAAACAAAAATGATCGGCAACATTTCTTGATTTCTTATTCCTTAATTGCTCTTTAAGGCATGGAAATGCGGGATCTGTGCGTGTCATAAATTAAGGGTTACAAACTTAGATATTCACAATTTCGAATTTCATTTGGTTCTTTTGTCAATTTTCTTAAATACTGCAAGAACTGGAAACTTATAAATAATTCTACTCAAACAGCACTAGAAAATCGCTTGTGTAAGATATCTTAAATCGACTGTACGGATTGGTTAACGTGAAATTTTTCATTAGGTGGTGCCTAGTAATGTGTTTAATCCCCGAGCACACACGGCGGGTATGTCATACCCATGTGCATTTTTCTTTTCGTATATTTCTCGCCCATTATTTCATAAAAGGACGAAACTTGGTGTAGCTGAGTTCAAGGTCACATACTTAAATGGGAGAAATTCCTGAGGTGGCAAGTGCAATGGTTTTTTTAGGAACAGCATTATTCGGGCATGTCATACCCGTGCGTGTACTCGCGTTTTCTCAGTGAGTCACTTCGCACTTCTCGTTTTCAAGCTTTTAGTATAGGTTTTTCTTGAGTTGTAAGCATGGCGCCGTATATTCCTTACGATGAAGAGATGAAAGATTGAGAAATCTCCTTGAAACAGTTCTTCTGATGAGGATTCATTTAGTGAAGAAGAGGAAGATGTTGATGACGAAGACTATAATAGTAATCATGATTCACCCATAGAGAGTAGTGATTCAGATACAGAAACAGAAAATGAAACTCTAGAATGTAGCAATGAGTTTTTATGTTGGAAAAAATGGAACAAAAATAAATTCCGGACTAATGTTAGAATTGGCGCCAAAAATATTATAACTAAACTCCCTGGAAATACAAAGTATTCTAAAGATTTCTCAACACCTTTAGATTCCTTGTTATTGCTTATCGATGAAGATATGTTAAAACATGTAGTTGAGAATACAAATATTTATATTGATTCAATACGAGAAAATTTCACTCGTGAACGGAATGAGTGCTTTTCTCAAAGCCTTAGGGATGCACCTAATAGAAAATGTTAAAAATGAACGACGGCGAGCATCTGTGGTTCTTGATTCTTGCCAAACACTGACCACTGATGAACATGTTAACAATGAACTGTCCCCCCAAAAAACCTAAAATGACTTACAAGAGGTGTACAGAGTGCCCCAAGAAAAAAGACAGAAAGACTAGATTCATTGGTGAAAATTGTAGCAAAAGTATATGTATGGAACATATGACCTCATTTTGTAAACAATGTTAAAAAAATTGTAAGTAAATAATTTTTCCTCTCTTTATTGTTTCCTATTTTGTCTAAAATTAAGTATTAACTTGGTTTTATATTTCTTTTAAAAAAACGATAAATTTTTTTGACAAATTTTAATTACAATTTTTTATTTGGGTATGACATACCCGGTGCGTGTTCTCGTGTTCGTCGGATCGGTGCGTGTGCTCGCGGGTTAATTACAGGCGAACACATCTCAAACGAAAACGTCGCGAAGTAAACATCGTCCTACAAGACATCGTAGGAGAAAACACCGCATCTAAAACAAAGTAGTATAAAACATAGTATAGTCATAGAAAATAAAACGATTCAAAAACTTAAGAATTTTTAAATATCGTGTTAGAAAATATCGGGGTAAAAAAATAAATCACCTACATCGCATGCACGTGCTTTAAGATATTAAAAGTTTTAAATGCATGTTCGCGTACTGACTTGGGAATGCAAGAAGGAATAAGGAATATTTTTAACCTCTATAGTTCATATTTTTGAATTAACTAATAAATTTTTACTGAAAAGCAAAAGAAGAAAAAAAAAAAAAAAAAAACTTAAACATTTAGAAACCGAAAATAAATGGTACATATAGCATAGTTAACAAAATTTTAAACTTACGTAGTTAGATAATAAAGGTAACTTAAGTGTTTTAGAAAGATGTAATCGAAAAAATATAACATCAGAGTGATTTGAAAAATGAAGATGAAAGAAGGAATGGCATGAGGTAACCTGTACCAAAATTGTTGAATTTATTATCAAATTCTAAACTTATTCCCTTTTTTTTTTTTTTTTTTTTTTTTGTCGTTGTTTGTTTGTTAATCTGACATTCTTCCAGTAAAAATTAAGTTTTATTTCAATTTATTCGTCTTCTTTAAGTGTTATTAACATCTTCATGTACAAAACTTTTAAAGTCTGAAATCATATGCCTGCGATGATGATATAACGTGATGATTTTTTTACGGCAATGT